GCGCGCGGGCTCTGCACAGCCTTGGAGCCCATCCCGCTGCGGGCCAGGTTCTGACCGGGCTCAGAAGTCTCGATCCGTCCGTGGCTGCTAGCTCCGAGTGACAGCGCCAGGCCTACGGCTCTAGCTAGTGGGCGGGTATCCTGTTCAGGCTGCTCAGCCATCACTGTCCCCTCCCCCATCCTGTTTGTGAGTACCTAGTTTCTAAGGCAGGTAGCCCCCAACCCTGATCAGTTATTTTTTTCCCCACGTGGTTTATTATAGCCAAATGCTTTTTTTTTTTTTGAGTCTGCCCCCATCATCTCACCGCCTCCCTAGCACTAATTTGGAGAAATCAAGCCATTATCAGTTGCTTAGGAGACGCACAGCGCTGTACCTGGAACCTGATAGCTAGTGTTGTGTTTTATAAATTAGCTCCCGTATCCCTCTCAGGGATTGAATTTGGCGTTCTTGCTCTAGAGACTCGAGCAAGTCCTTTAAAAGCTGCAGAGCTGTTGATTGACAGGAGAAAAGCACATCTTGGAATCTGGGTTTTCAGAACTGAAAATTCAGGGCCTTAAGTAAAATGGAGTTCATCGCTCTTATTTCACAGAAGACACCGGACCTAAAGAGCATAGTGTTGCTTGATCAAGATGATCAAGGTGCAGCCCTTCCATGGTTAGGCTTTAGGGCTGCAGACAGTTTTTGTGGCAGGACGGCAGTGCTGGTTCATCCTGCTTCGGACAATGTGTCCCCCAGAAGTGACTGCACTTGGCTTGCAGGACTTCTCAGGTTGATTGGGAAGTTCGGCCTGGCTGTTGCGATGGCTCTAGAGAGTAGTAGATAAGTGTTTCTGGGTGAGTTGTACGGCCTATATAGTCCAGGCTAGTGTAGAACTGGTGATCGGTCCAGATGGTTCCTGGGTGCAGGGACTACAGGTGTGTGCCACCTTGTCTGACCACTGTTTCTTCTTTAGTTTATTTTAGGCAGCAGTCTTTCAACCGGGGTATGTTTTAGTTAAGATCAGATCAGTGAGCCAGACAGTGGGATAGACATGGAATATTTCAGGTGACTGGGGTGTAGTTAGGAAGTGGTGAAAATCTTGGACAGCAAGAAGAACCACACACACACGCACACACTGGACACTTGTGCCCAGCACTATAGTGACTGACTTTTTTTAAGCTATAAATGACCTGTTGTCGCTGTTTGTTTAGTTTTATATGTTAACCTTTGCCAGCTGATTTCATAGGTGAATTCCCTAAAAAGGTGGTATTGTCTCCGTGTTACACATGTTTTAAGCCTGCAGAAAGGAACCAGAGAGACACGTTCTGACTGTGGTGCCGGTTATTTGCAGAGGAATGTAAGCCTAGATCACTTATCTTCTAAGTCCAGTCAGTGCTCCATTGCGTTGTATCTTGCTCCCACTTCAAGCTGGGAAGGGGGATGAGGGAATCGCCTGTGGCTGCTTTATTGGCGCCTGTGGTTGCCCAGAGAGGCCAAGCAGGACTTTCAGCTGCCCTCTATGCCTCACAGAGTGGAGCTATGTACTTCCACCCTATCTCCTGAGGGGAATGCAAAGGAGCCAGGCTGTCTAGCTGGGGAGGAGGGGCCCAAGTGGCTTGGCAGTAAAATATCCTGACCATGGCTGTGCTGCTGGGAAGTGTTGCATAATGTCCCCCCCCCACACTGACCTACAGTGATTTATTCCTTGCTAGCTGTAGGTGGTGTTTGACCAATTGGTCCATTTTTGTAGTAACAGCTAGCCAAGCGTTGGAGGGCTGGATTATGGGAGATTTCCCTGAGAAGAACAGTACAGGTGTGCTTATCTTGATGATAAGTTCTGCACCACTTCCTGTGGCCCCTTTCTCCTTTTGCGTAGTTATTCCCCAGAGCATGTGAACCTGAGGCCTTTGAGAGAAGGCTGAAAAGAAAATATTGCTGCAGTTGGTCCGTACAGTACTAGCTATGGACTTAGATCCTTTGATCTCTACCATCTGTTACTCAGGTTCTTCAATCGATCCTTTTGCTCTTGGCTGTGCTTGTAGGTGACCCAGGTTTGGTTCCCAGCACCCATGTGGTGACTAACAGCCATCTGTAACTCCAGTTCCAGGGTTCCTTCTTCTGGTTTCCACAGGCTCCTACCACACATATAATTTACTTGAATCCATGCAAGTACATACTTAAAACATGTTTTGCCAGGACTGGGGCACATAAAAAGGTGGTGAACACCTTTTTAATCCCAGCACATGGGAAATAGAGGCAGGTGGATCTCTGTGAGTTCAAGGACAGCCTTGTCTACATAGTCAGTGCCAGGTCAGCCAGAGCTACATAATAGGCCCTGTCTCACTCACACCACCCCAAAAAAGTGGAGGAAAACGTATGTAAAGCTAATAAGCTAATATGTGTTATGATTGCTAGTTGATTTTGTTTATACTTGGTTATGTTCTGGGTATTAAACTGGCATCTTGTGAATGCTAATCAAAACCTCTACTACTGAGCTATATTTCTTCAATCCTTTGTTGGGCTTCTGTTTTCATTTTATTAAACAGTTTTCTTCTCTGTTAAAAAAAAATATTTAAGCCAGGCCGTGACGGCACATGCTGTCAATCCTAATACTCGAGAGGAAGAAGCAGGCGGAGCTCTGTGAACTTAAGACCAGCTTGGTCTACAGAGTGAGTTCCAGGACAGTCAAGCAGAGAAACCATGTCTTGAAAAACCAAACCAAAAAAAAAAAAAAAAAGCACAAAAAAAACCACCTTATTTAGGAAAAATGTTTTTATATTGATAACTTTTTAGAATTTTCCTAGTTCATTGCTTTCCTAGTTATAGATAAAGACCACGTTTTATTGTGAGACACCAGGCTTTTGAGCAGAGGATCTTTTAGCCTGTGCGGGCCCACGTGGGTAGTGTGCTCGTGGAGCTGTAACTCTCAGACAGGAAATGCTGCCGTCGGTGCACACAGAGGAAGTGCTGGTATAGGGACACACAGATTCCGCAGTCGGAGGTCTGTTCTAGTTTTAGCATCTTTAACTTTCTCCTTTCTTTGGATACTTTGTTTTGTTCTGTTCGGAAGGGGTCTTTAATAAATCAAGAAAATCATATCCTTTTCTTTCTATATTAAGATTGTATTTCTAAGATCTGTTGGCTTGGTGCTTTATCAGGCACGTGTGCACACACACACCATGTTAAGAGATGAAAAGGCCGTTGTCTGCCTCAAACTGTCCTGGCGAAGCTTTCTAGAATGTAACTGTATCCTACACTATGTCGTCTCTAAGATTCTCTGTAAATTTGTGTAAGTAGATGTGTAGGGTTTATGGCAGGCTCTTATCTGAGACTCTATTTTCTGGCCTCAAACTCACAGATCCAACTGCCTCTGCCTCCAGAGGGATTAAAGGCGTGTGCCACCACCCGGCCATAGATACTTTAAAAAAAAATTGGAAATAGTGCTGTCTTTCCTTGTTTCTAACCATCCTACTGTTGCTTAGTTTAGATCGTTTCTGTTTCTTTTACTTGGGTGTGTATGTCTGGGTGTGTGCATCTAAGGTCTAAGGTGTCTTCCTCAGTTTATTCCCCTTATTTTTTGACTGTCTTTCATTGAACTTAAATGAGCTCACTGATTCATCTAAGCTGGCTAGCCAGTGAGCTCCAGAGATTTGCCTATCTACCACTAGAACACTCGGAATCCAGCTGTACATCGCTACACACATTTTAAAGAAATACTATTTTTAATTTTTATTATGTGTGTGTGAGGGGGTTCTACATGTGAATCCAGTCCCTTTAGGTAGCAAGTGTGAGATCCCCTGGAGCTGGCATTACTGGCAGTTGTAAGCTTCCTGGTGTGGGTGCTGGGAATCGAACTTGGATTGCTTTGGAAGAGCAGTACTGTCTTTTAACTGCTGAACCATCTCCCCAGGACTCACCAAACACATTTTTAATTTTTCAAAACGCTTTTTAAAATGTTTTGCGTGTAGCTGTTTTGCCTACAAATATATCTGTATACAAGTGTACTTGGTGCCTATTGAGGCCAGAAGACAGTGTTAGATCCTCTGTAACTGAAGTGACGACGGTTGTGAAACAGTGTGTGCGTGGGGAACTAAACTCACGTCCTCTAGAGAGGAACAAATGCTCTTAACCACTAAGCCATCTTTCCAGTACCACACGCACATTGTGTGCCGGGGTGCACCATGTAGACTTGTTGTTTAAAGAAAGAAGGCACTCCAAGGTGAAATTTTAATGGCATCAGGAAGGTCCAGCCTCCCTGAGGGACTGAACCCTAAACAGCCACACAAAGGTGTATTGATTGATTGTTACACAAGGTCCCTAATCTAATTTACATCTTACTAAAGGACAGTATCACATGCGCCCATAACTCTTGTCCTTTATTATATGTATCATTTGCAATACACAATAATATAGGAGCCTCATGTGGGCCAGAGGTGTCTTGTGACTCAAACTCATTGGCTGGCTGCAATGCCCCTTCAGCAAAACAATTCTGCTATCTTGGAGAACAATCGCTTTTTCACAAAGAGTCTCCAAGGTCGAAATACTTCTAAAAACCAGCTGTTCATTCTACTGTCCACCCCATACAGTGACTCTGCTAAGTTCTCAAGCATCCTGGGAATCTGAACCCAGGTCCTCATATTTGAGTGGCAGACACTTCACTATTTCCTCAAGTCCTCTGCTTGTTTTCTTTTTGAGATAGGTTTTCCTAAGCGCAGGCCTCAGACTTCCATGAGCTAGAATTGCAGGTGTGCACAATATGCATAACTTTCTTAAACTCCTAAAGCTTTTAGTTTAGAGTCACATTTCGAGTAATTGCTGGTATATATTTATCTAATATAATCGATATAATTCTTTGAAAACTTATGAAATAGTTTCAGTTTTCTTATTTTACTTATGTGTATGTACATGTTCCTATAAGTGTGTGCACTACATGTGTGAAATGCTCTTCAGGGTTTCCTTAGCTTCTTGTTCTTCTAAAGCAAAGGTTCTTACCTAAAGCGTCTGCTAGAATCTCCTGGGAAGTTTCTTTTTTAAAAAAGGCCTGCAGAGAGAGGTGTGTGTATGTGTGTGAGATGGCTCAGAAGGTGAAAGCATTTGCCAGACAGCCTGGGTTTGATCCTTAGAACCCCCATGGAAGGAGAAATGATTCTATTCTGACATCTACATACATGCTGTAACATGTGTGGGTTCGTACTCACAGATCATACACACAATAAAGATTTTAAAATTTATGTGTATGGGTGTTTAGCCTGCACATAGTATGTAGCATTTGCATAGTTCGTAGTCTGTAGCATTTGTATAGTGCCGATGGAGGCCAGAAGAAGGCACTGGCTCCCATTGGACTGGAGTTATGGATGGTTGTTAGCTGCTATATAAGTGCTGGAAATCAAACCCAGCTGAGCCATCTCTAATAATAATAATTTTAATTATTTATTTTTAAAACTTTGAGTGGTCTGAGGACAGCTCTCTGAAGCTAGTTCTCCTACCACCTTGTAGGATATGGGAATTGGGCACAGGTCATCACATCTGTGCACATAAGCCTCTATCTTCTGAGCAGTCTTCAATAAAATAGAATTAAAGTCTTAGAGCTCCGCACCAGCAATTCTTGGGTTATTTTGTGATAAGACTTCCCCATCTGTCCAGCTCTGCACAGCCTGTGCTGTGTAGTCAGTGATGGGTGCACTGTCCCAGGAGAAAATTATTTATGTACATTCTTTCATTCTTTTTGGGAATAATGGTTATGCTTATGATCCCACTGTTCAGAAACTTTAGGCAAGAGAGTATAGAGTTCAAGGTCAGCCTGGGCTACATAGTAAATCCCAGATCATTCTAGGCTACAGTGAGATCTTGTCTCACAATAAAGCCAGATGAGCTCATTCATTTCTTAAATAATCAAATGTCACACATCCACAATCATCTAAAAATGATTACTATTTTACAATTACCAAATTGCAATCAGTATAGAAAGCCTTTTATCATGTAACTCTAGAGGTTTTTTTTTTTAACCTTTGTATTTATAGCCATGAGTAAGTAGCTCAGAAAAGCTTAGCATTCCTGCGCCAGCTTCCTATCTTTTAGTGGTGATTGATTATAAAGTCTGTTAAAGATTCTTGCAGCCTGAGTCGTATAGGTTATTCTGCCACTGCTGATTTGAGAGTACAATCCAAAAGAGATTTTTCTAAACAAAATAATGAATATCATGCTAACTGAGTTATCAGCAACCTAGTATACATAGTTTCATCATAGTTTAAACTAATCTGGAACTAATTTACTACACTCGAGAAAGTAAAGAAGGCTTTTATAATCTCAGAGCTACCAGTACTAAACCTGTTGTTTAATAAATATAACTTTGAGGGT